ATTGATACTTTTTTGCAGCAGAGCACACGAAATGACACAGTAACGAAACCAAAAACAAGAAAGGAAGTTAACTTCGGCAAGCCGAAGTTTGTATACCCTCGCAGTTATAACTATTAAATTTAAAAATACAAAAAATGATATTCCCAATAGTATAAGATAATATGTCAAAAAACACCGAAACTATAATTTGTTTCATATTATTTTCCCACCAATTTTCCGATCGTTCCTATGGCAGCTATATGATATAGTCGTCCGATTTTGATAAAATTAAATTCGAAATTCAGAACTAAATAAAAAATGTTATTTCCAAGTGTAGGAGTTTATATGTTAAACAAGAAAGAAGTTAACTTTGTATACCCTCGCAGTTATAATTATTAAATTTAAAAACACAAAAAATGATATTCCCAATAGTATAAGATAATATGTCAAAAAACACTGAACCTATAATTTGTTTCATTTTATTTTCCCACCAGTTTTCCGATCGTTCCTATGGCAGCTATCTGATATAGTCGTCCGATTTTGATAAAATTAAATTTGAAATTCAGAACTAATTGAAAAATGTTATTTATATGCCAAAAAACACCGAAGTTATAATTTGTTTCATATTATTTTTCCACCAATTTTCCGATCGTTCCTATGGCAGCTATATGTGATACAGTCGTCCGATTTTGATAACATTTAATTCCAAATTAAAAACTAATTAAAAAATGTTATTTCCAAGCTTAAGCGCTATATGTTAAAAAACACCAAAGCTATTATTTTTTTAAACTTTTTTTTTCGACTATTCCTATGGGAGCTATAAGATATAGCTGTCCAATCCGGCTGTTCCCGACTTATATACTACCTGCGAAAGATATAAGACTTTTGGGAAAGTTTCAGCCCGATAGCTTTAAAACTGAGAGACTAGTTTGCGTGGAAACGGACTGACAGAATGACAGACGGACATGGCTAGATCGACTCGTCTTGTGATGCTGATCAAGAATATATATACTTTATGGAGTCGGCAACGTCTCCTTCACTGCGTTGCAAACTTCTGACTGAAATCAATATAACCTCTGCAAGGGTATAAAAATTCAGAACTAATTAAAAATTTTATTTCCAATTTTACGATCGTTCCTTTGGCAGCTATATGATATAGTCGTCCGATTTTGATAAAATTAAATTAGAAATTCAGAATGAATTAAAAAATGTTATTTACAAGCGTAGGTGGTTATATGTTAAAAAAAAACACCGAAGTTATAATTTTGTTTCATATTATTTTCCCACCGATTTTACCATCGTTCCTATGGCAGCTATATGATATAGTCGTCCGATTTTGATAAAATTTAATTCGAAATTCAGAACTAACTAAAAAATGTTATTTCCAAGCTTAGGAAATTATATGCTAAAAAACACCAAAGATATAATTTTTTTTAATTTTTTTGTCCGGTTATTCCTATGGGAGCTATAAGATATAGTTCCGACTTATATACTACCTGCAAAAGATATAAGACTTTTGGGAAAGTTTCAGCCCGATAGCTTTAAAACTGAGAGAATAGTTTGCGTAGAAACGGACGGACAGACGGACATGGCTAGATTGACTCTTCTAGTGGTGCTGATCAAGAATATATATACTTTATGGGGTCGGAAACGTCTCCTTCACTGAATTACAAACTTCTGACTGAAATCATAATACCCTCTGCAAGGGTAGAAATATTACATTGACAACGCACACCAGGAAGGTCGAAAATACACATACCGAAACGTCTCCTTCACTGCGTTGCATACTTCTGACTGAAATCATTATACCGTCTGCAAGGGTATAACAAGAAAGGAAGTTAACTTCCGCAAGCCGAAGTTTGTATACTCTTGCAGTTATAATTATTAAATTTAAAAATACAAAAAATGATAGTCCCAATAGTATAAGATAATATGTCAAAAAAACCGAAACTATAATTTGATTCATATTATTTTCCCACCAGTTTTCCGATCGTTCCTATGGCAGCTATATGATATAGTCGTCCGATTTTGATAAAGTTAAATACGAAATTCGGAACTAATTAAAAAATGTTTTTTCCAAGCGTAGGAGGTTTATTTAAAAAAACACCGAAGCTATAATTTGTTATATATTATTTTTCCACCAATTTTCCGATCGTTCCTATGGCAGCTATATGATATAGTCGTTCGATTTTGAAAAAATTAAATTCGAAATTCAGAACTAATAAAAAATGTTATTTCCAAGCGTGGGATGTTATATGTTAAAAAACACTGAAGCTATAATTTGTTTCATATTATTTTCCCACCAATTTTCTGATCGTTCCTATGGCATAACATTTAATTCGAAATTGAAAACTATATATATATGTTACAAAAAACAAAAGATATAATTTTTTAAAACTTTTTTCCCCATTATTCCTATGGGAGATATAAGATATAGCTGTCCGATCCGGCTGGTTCCGACTTATCTACTACCTGCAAAAGAATTATGACTTTTGGGAAAGTTTCAGCCCGATAGCTTTAAAAGTGAGAGACTAGCTTGCGTAGAAACTGACGGACAGACGGACATGGCTAGATCGACTCGTCTAGTCCAGTGTACCGTTGAGACGATAGGACGGTGAGTTAGTGAGACATATAATGTGCTGATCAGCAATTCTCATCTGCAGTGGGTGCTACTGAGCGCCTGGTACTGTTTCCAACTTGGCTTGGTTTGTTGGGTGCTGGTCATGTTGAGCACCCTTGGGTACGAACATTCTTCCCCACATTAAGGGGTAACCTCAACTAAGGCAAGATGTCGGTCAGCCCTTGGCCGAATTGTATCGAAAGCACCAAACAAATCATTAACTTTTAAGGATATTTCCTTCAGCTGCGGAGGTTCATGGTTGTGATTAAGGTCCTTCATATCTTCTTGATGCTGCTTAACACTCCCTTTGCGATAAAATTTACGTTACCGTGGGGACTGAAATTGTAGCCTTGACCATTTGGCATGTCTATGGTATGGGGACCTTTTCTAGTAGGTTTTAAGTTGATGAGAAGTCGGTTCTGTATTAATTGGTTTTCAAAGAAACAAAGAATCATGTGAAGCTGGATGAAGCTGAGTATCCTGTGAAGCTGGATAAAGCTGAGTATCCTGTGAAGCTGGATTAAGCTGACGATAATTGATCATTTGGCATGTCTATGGTATGTGGACCTTTTCTAGTAGGTTTTAAGTTGATGAGAAGTCGGTTCTGTATTAATTGGTTTTCAAAGAAACAAAGAATCATGTGAAGCTGGATGAAGCTGAGTATCCTGTGAAGCTGGATAAAGCTGAGTATCTTGTGAAGCTGGATTAAGCTGACGATCCTGTGACGCTGGATGAAGAAGCGTATCCTGTGAAGATGGATGAAGCTGACGATCCTGTGACGCTGGATGACGAAGCGTGTCCTGTGAAGCTGGGTTAAGCTTCCGATCCTGTGACGCTGGATGACGAAGCGTATCCTGTGAAGCTGGATATCTAGCGTAAAAATTGTGGGCGTCACAGGTTTTCGCGGTTTGTGGGCGTTAGAGTGGGCGTGGCATATTCGCATAACAAACCTGCGCTGCGTATAAGGCTACGGAATCTATATCTGAAATCCCAATTCTCTATCTTTGATAGTTCATACTTACGATTTTTTGAAATTTGTGGGCGGTTTATGGGCGTTAGGGTGGGCGTGGCAATTTTTTTTTTGGGTCAATCGATAGGTATTGATGAGAACATTACATTTCAGTTAACATTTTTATTCTAGCATCAAAACTGTAGGAGCCAAAGTTTTGGGCGGTTTGTGGGCGTTGGAGTGGGCGTGGCACTCTACTGAAACAAACTTGCGCTGCGTAAGAAGCTTAGGAATCTGCACGCCAAATCTCAATAGCCTAGCTCCCATAGTTTCCGAGATCTCAGCGTTCATCCGGACAGACAGACGGACAGACGGACATGGCTAGATCGACTCGGCTAGTGATCCTGATCAAGAATATATATACTTTATGGGGTCGGAAACGCTTCCTTCTGCCTGTTACATACTTTCCGACGAATCTAGTATACCCTTTTACTCTACGAGTAACGGGTATAACTAGGATAACCGAAGCTCAATTGATAGCATAAAATAATAGACAAGTAATAACTAATACAGTAACGCAAAGGCAGATAAGCCAACTCACCGAAACCATGAATACAATTAAAGCCTAATTTTTATTGATCAGCTACAGGTGATCCTACTTGTAAAGTTAGTTTGATGGGTTTTCAACTATTAAAGTATTTTAGTTCGATTCCATAATCCACATATTAATTAAATACCCTAAATGCAGAGCTCCCAAAAAGTCTCCATTTTTTTTTTGAAAAATGAAATCGAAAAGACACTCTCAAAGTGTTTTGGTTTTTAGTGTCCCGCTCAGACACTGAGCATTTCTATTTGCTCTATTTGGGAGCCTGTTTTTATGAGACACTTTGGTTATCAGAATCTGGCCAAAGTGTCTTTTCATATTAAATGTGTTCAGACTTTTCTAGTCAAATATACATATCTATTAAGTATACATGTATGTATATATATATTTATCATCATACAAAAGTAGAAGTAACAAGGAAAAACGCTATAGTTGAGTACCTCCACTATCAGATTCCCATTACTCGGCTAAAGGGACCAAAGGGAAATGTAGATATGCAAGCAGCAAAGCCAGATTGAAATGCGCAAACTACCCGCTATCTCAATATATGGTTATGTGGGCGGTATACAGATTTAAGCGCAAGAAGCTCAGGAAATCACTAGCCCTTATAGTTTCCGAGATTTCAGCGTTCATACGCACAGACGGACAGACAAAAAGACGTACATGGCTAGATCGACTCGGCTAGTGATCCTGATCAAAAATATATATACTTTTTGGGGTCGGAAACGCTTCCTTCTGCCTGTTACATACTTTCCGACGAATGTAGTATCCCCTTTAACTCTACGAGTAAAAAAAAGTACGGAAATCAATGCAACCATAATGTTGGTTAAAAAAGTGTGCTTGTCGACGGTCGAACATTGTAATCGATAGGTAGACTAAGTATTGTAAGAGAAATCTAGTATTTGTTAATTTATCCGATCTCGTATGGATTTGTTGGCCCTTGAAGTGCGGGCCTACTAATATCGGTTTAATGGATGCCGCCATAAATTGTGCTTTTCATTGTCTTGTGAATCGTAGGAGGGCACACTGCGGTAAGATTAAGTTAGTTTGAAATGTATGAGGCTGATTTGAATTGTTAACAGAATAAAACGATCGCCCCGAGCGACTGCCACGAGCGCCACCAGGCGCACGACGCCCTTAAAGTTCACCCTCTCTTCGGACCTACGCGTGTGGGGTAGTCGTTAACAAGGCAACTCCATATGATGCAAGACAACTCCTTTTATTCGCAGTCCTAGGGAGACTGTAAGGGCAACTTGCGCTGGAGGACGGCTTGACGACCAGCTAGAGAGTTGCCAGGAGCAATTCCCGTACCAGTAGAGGAGTCGCAGGCAGCGACATAGACGGGCGCAGACAGCGCCGAACACTGGGTACGGACGGAGTCGCAGTCAGCGACAGGGAGACGCAGGCCGCGTCAGTTAAGGAGACCGCAGACAGCGGTCAGGAGGCGCAAGGAGCGCCAAGCACGGGGTCCGCAGACAGCGGGCCAGAAGACGCAAGGAGCGTCAAGCATCGCCTGCCGCAGCCAGCGGCCAGAAGGCACAGGTGCCGCCATTTTGGAGAGCGCTGAGGCAGCGCCGTATTTGGACCTGTTAGGATGCAGCATTCCCCGAAGAGGAGCTCGCGGCTGAGAGGAGGGGAAGCCACCCCTACAGCAACGCGAGCGGATCAGCAGCCAGTGAGTAGTGGAGCAGAAAACCGGCCGCGAGTGAACATAACCTCGGCGGCGGCCATTTCTAGCCCAGCCACTACGGTGACTACAGTAGCGTCCCAACCGAGGAGTACTGCTGTCACAGCTGCGGGATCAGAGCCGGAGACGAACCAGTCCCTCACGTCGGACCTTTTGAAAAGGATTGCGGCGTTGGAGGAGGAGCTAAAGCATGTTAAAGCCCTGAACAGTGTGAGCACCGCCAATTGCGCGCCAATCGCAGTTGGCCCAAGCGCAGATGGCGCCATCAGTGGAGCGTCGGGGCGGCCGCCATCTTGGAGCGGACCGCCATTAGCCACATCTAACGGTGAGGCCTCAACTAACGGGGTCGGGCCGGTCCCACATAGCGGTGTCGGTGCGAGCAGTGCGGCCTGCACGCTGCCGCCATCTTGGAGTGGACCGCCATTGCTAACGACTAGCAATCATTTTGTGGAGCCACTGTGTGCTACAAGTGTTGCGCAGACAGCGCATGGATTCGTGCTACCGGGCGGGAGCACCCACAACGTGGCAACAGCATCGCCATTTGTTGGGTCCTACGCCCCGATAACGCCGAATGAATCCCAAAGAGTGTACGGGCCAAGGAAGCTTCCGGACCTGCCTGTATTTGGAGGGCAGCCCGAGGAGTGGCCGATCTTTAACTGTGCGTTTGTGGAGACGACCCAAGCATACAACTGCACAGACTTGGAGAACAACCAGAGGTTGTTAAAGGCGCTGAAGGATGAAGCACGCGAGACAGTGAAGTCGCTGCTGATTCACCCTGGGAACGTCAGCGCCGTGATGGAGCAGCTGCGCTTTAGGTTCGGCCGACCGGAGCAGCTTATACGCAGCCAGCTGAACAGCGTGCGAGAGGTGCCGCCGATTTCGGAGCAGCACCTGGCGAGGATCGTTCCCTTCGCAACCCGAGTGAGTAACCTCACGGCCTTCTTGCAGTCAGCGAAGGCGGAGCAGCACCTGCGGAACCCAACGCTAATGGAGGATCTTGTGGCAAAGCTTCCTACGAGCAAGAGAGTAGACTGGGCCAGGCACGCTGCATCGATCGAGCCCTTTCCCACTGTGGCGCACTTCAGCGTGTGGCTGCAGGAGTACGCAAACGTCGTGTGTACGGTTTTGGACGTCGAGGGAAAGGAGCCGAGGCGTCGAGTTCTACATGCGAGCGTCGACCAGAACGGATGCGATCAACAGGATGATCGGCATGGAGGTTGTCCAATTTGTGGAAAGCAACATGCTGCGACGAGCTGCAGGGAGTTCATTGGAGCTTCGCCACCGGGTAGGTGGAGCATGGTGAGGAGGCATCGGCTCTGCTTCACATGCTTACGGAGTGGACATACGACCAGAACCTGCGATGTACATGGCGAGTGCCAGATCAACGGATGCCGCAGATTGCATCACCGTCTGCTACATGGTGCGGACGAGGAGCGAAGATGGCCGGCGCAGCGAGGTGGCTTCAGGAGCCACAACGGAGGAAACCAGCAGTCAGCAGTTTTCAGACGCGGCCCGGACAGGAGGTCTTCGCCACGAGGTGGTTACAGGGACCACGAGGGGAGCCTACAGTCGGCTGTCCCCAGAAACAGCCTGGAGATAAGGGCCCCGCAGCCAGCGGAGGCACCCGTGCAGAGGAACTTAAACTGCGTTGACGCCGAAGGAGGCCGACTTTTGTTCCGTATACTGCCAGTAACGCTGTACGGAGCTGGTCGCCAGGTGGATACATACGCGCTCTTGGATGAAGGATCCTCCGTCACGATGATCGATGACGAGCTACGGAGGGATCTGGGAGTGCGAGGCGTACATCGACAGCTGAATATACAATGGTTTGGAGGAAGGGCCAGCAGAGAGCCCAGCAACGTGGTGAGCCTAGAGATAAGTGGAGCTGGGAATTCCACTCGCCACGCTTTAAGGAACGTGTACTCCGTTTCGAGCCTGAGTCTGCCAATGCAGACGTTAGGTCGACGAGATGTCCAGGGCGTGCATAAGGATGCGCGTCTGCCGATGAAGCCCTACATCAACGTGGTGCCTAAGTTGCTCATCGGACTGGACCATGGACATTTGGAATTGCCACTTAGGACGAGGCGGTTTGCCAGAGAGGGACCGTATGCGGCCGCAACCGAGCTTGGATGGGTTGTGTTTGGGCCAGTAAGTGGGCAATCGACTACGCCGTCACCGAGGTCCTGCCTTCTAGCCGTGTCAATGGATGATACGATGGAAAAGATGGTGGAGGACTACTTCGAGATGGAAAGCTTTGGTGTGAAGCTCGCGCCACAGGTCGCAGGCAGCGATGACGCGCGGGCACAAAGGATCCTCGAAGATACCACGGTGAAAGTGGGGCGTCGCTACCAGACGGGATTACTCTGGAAGGACGACTACGCTGTGCTGCCACGGAGCTATGAGATGGCGCACAGACTGCTGATCAATGTGGAGAAGAAGTTGAAGCGCAACGGGCAGTTGGCGCTGGAATACGATCGTATCATCAAGGATTACGTATCCAAAGGATATGCGAGGAAGCTGCAGCAGGATGAGGTCGCGGTGACGAGCGACCGGCTATGGTATTTGCCACATTTTGGTGTCGAAAACCCGAACAAGCCCGGTAAGGTCCGGCTTGTGTTCGATGCTGCAGCCAAGGTTGGAGGAACCTCGCTAAATTCGGCGCTGGACAAGGGGCCTCAGCATTACAAGCCCTTGTCAGCCGTGCTCTTCCACTTCAGGGAAGGAGCAGTCGGAGTCTGCGGTGACATCAAGGAGATGTTCCACCAAGTGCTGATCCGACCCGAGGATCGATGTTCCCAACGATTCCTTTGGAGAGATGGCAACGACGATCGAGACCCGGATACGTACGAGGATGACAATGTGATGGTTAGCTTCGTGTGCGCAAAGACGAAGTGCGCGCCGATGAGAACGATGTCGATCCCAAGGTTGGAGCTGCAGGCAGCGGTTCTTGGAACCAGACTGATGAACACTGTCCAGGAGGAGCACAGTGTGGACATCAGCGAGACGGTGTTGTGGACGGACTCAAAGACGGTGCTGAGATGGATCGGCAGCACCCACCGCCGGTACAAGCAGTTTGTTGGCAACCGAGTGGCGGAGATTTTGGAGTCGTCGAAGGTTTCCCAGTGGAGGTGGGTACCTACAGCCGACAACGCAGCGGATGATGCGACGCGGTCGCAGAATAAGGCGGACCTTAGCCCGGAATCACGTTGGCTAAGTGGACCCGCATTTTTGAGGCAGCCATCGAGCGGCTGGCCGGCGCCTGAGGAGGGAACTAAGCGTGTTCCAGATGCGCCTGAGGAGGGAACTAAGCGTGTTCCAGATGCGCCTGAGGAGGGAACTAAGCGTGTTCCAGATGCGCCTGATGAAGAGGAGATGCCCGGTGAGTTTGCATTGGTGGCCGCGGATGAATTTGCCATTCCGTTCCAGAGATTCTCGAGCTTCAGTCGCCTGGTGAGGACCACAGCATGGGTCTTGAGGTTTGCGCGTTGGTGTCGCAAGCAGAGAAGCGAGATCGAGGAGTACGGACTCACTGCATCGGAGTGTGAGGCCGCGGAGAACCTGTTAGTCAGACAGGCCCAGTTGGAGTCGTTCCCCGACGAGATGAAGTCGGCGGAATGCGGAAAGGACGTCGCCAGCTCGAGTGAGATTCGAGGTCTGGCGCCTTACGTGGATGAAAATGGAGTTCTGCGAGTTTATGGCAGAGTTGATGCCGCGCTGTGCATGCCGTACAGTGCGAGGAGGCCCGTAATACTATCACACAGGCACAGTCTTACGGATTTGATTGTGAGGCACTTTCATGCCCAGATGAAGCATCAAAACGTGGATGCGACGATTGCTCAGATTCGGACGAGATTCTGGGTCACGAAGATGAGACGAGTGCTGAAGGAAGTAATCTCGTCGTGCAACGAGTGCAAGTTGCAGCGAACGCGGCCGATGCCGCCGATAATGGGACCCCTACCAGAGGATCGACTGGAAGCGGGAGGATGGCCATTCAAGTACACCGGATTGGACTACTTTGGGCCACTGCTGGTGACTGTATCCCGTCACAGAGAGAAGCGTTGGGTCGCCTTGTTCACATGCTTGACGACAAGGGCGATTCATCTGGAGTTGGCTCATGACCTGTCGACAGATTCCTGCATAATAGCGATCAGGAACTTCGTCTGCCGTAGAGGACCAGTACATAGACTGCGGAGTGATAACGGCAAGAACTTCGTGGGAGCTGACAGGGAGGCCAAGCGATTTGGAGACGTGTTCGAGACGGAGAGGATACAGAGTGAGTTGTCCAGCAGAAGCATTGAATGGGATTTCAATTGCCCATCGAACCCGTCTGAGGGCGGAGTATGGGAGCGGATGGTGCAGTGCGTCAAACGAGTGCTGCGCCATACCCTGAAGGAAGTTGCGCCGAGGGATCATGTGTTGGAGAGTTTCCTGATCGAGGCGGAGAATGTAGTCAACTCGCGTCCGCTCACCCACTTGCCGGTGGATGCGGACCAAGAGGCGCCGTTGACGCCAAATGATCTGCTCAAGGGAGCAGCTAACCTGCCGAATACGCCTGGATTGGATGCGGAGCTGCCCAAGGAGGGTTCTACGCGAAAGCAGTGGAGGATTGCTCGCATGCTGCGAGACCGTTTCTGGAGGAGGTGGGTCCTGGAGTACCTGCCTACGCTTGTGCGCCGCGAGAAGTGGTGCCGGAGAACGGAGCCCATCCGCCAGGGCGATATGGTCTTCGTCTGCGATCCTGCCTTGCCCAGACGAGAGTGGCGCAAGGGAATCGTGGAGGAGGTCTACAGCGGAGCTGATGGAGTCGTCAGACGCGCTACTGTGCGCGTGAACGACAATGGCCTATCTCGGACAATGTTGCGGCCCGTCTCAAAACTTGCAGTTTTGGATTTGAGTGAAGCGGTTCTTCACGGGGTCGGGGATGTCGACGGTCGAACATTGTAATCGATAGGTAGACTAAGTATTGTAAGAGAAATCTAGTATTTGTTAATTTATCCGATCTCGTATGGATTTCTTGGCCCTTGAAGTGCGGGCCTACTAATATCGGTTTAATGGATGCCGCCATAAATTGTGCTTTTCATTGTCTTGTGAATCGTAGGAGGGCACACTGCGGTAAGATTAAGTTAGTTTGAAATGTATGAGGCTGATTTGAATTGTTAACAGAATAAAACGATCGCCCCGAGCGACTGCCACGAGCGCCACCAGGCGCACGACGCCCTTAAAGTTCACCCTCTCTTCGGACCTACGCGTGTGGGGTAGTCGTTAACAAGGCAACTCCATATGATGCAAGACAGTGCTTACCATTGTTTTTTTGAAAACCTACTTTGTTGTCCATAATATACCAAGAAGCCGCGGTGCCATATGCTTGCTTAAGAATTGGTAACATTTTAAAGATTAGTCGGCAGATTGATCACAAATATGTTAACCGCGAGGTTAACATAGGATGATGACTTTGTGAGAATACGTTTTTGGTGGATAAGGGGAGGAGTTCACTCCTCTCCTCAATAATAAAAGTTAACCGCGAATTCTTTAGAACAAGAGGATCATCCCATTTAGTTATGATCGTTTACCTACAAAAAGTGGTATTCAGAAATTGTATCACAAAACAAAATGTATTTCATATAAGTGAGCTCTCCAAGATCCTATTGCTACACAATTGCAATTAAAATTGTATGCAATTTTCGTTAAGATGTTGAAATTGTAAAGCATTATAGGAAATTTGGGACTTATATCAAAATCAGGAAAGACATTTTGTAACTCCAGCCAAAAATCATTGCTCACCTACTGAAAATAAGCTGTTTTGACATCGGTCCCAACTGTTATTTTGGGCCACTTTGTGTTCCTGATCTAGTAACGTTCAGACACCTTACACGAGAGAAACAGAAAAAGTGTTTTTGCTCAACCAGAGAGAGGCTTGATAATTGAATCCCGTTTTGATCTGAAACTGACGGGCTAGAGAAAAATGCTTGAGCATATTTTGGGCGCTCTGCCTAAGGGTTAGAACATTTGTAAAAAGATCACGGTTTTCCCGTCGTACGCAACCACACCTTTCTGCACCTTCAATGGAGTCCTGGCCGTCACTGATTACTCTACAAACAACGACGCGATGCTTTGCAAGATAGCCACGCACGATACCTGCTCCCGCGGAGTACACTCTGGTGGGATAGCTTATTGCCGCACGCAGCCCAGCCACCAATTACCGCAGTAGACGAGGGGATCATTATCATCAACTGTCAACCCTCAAATGCCAGCATGGCCCCATGATGAAACTAAATAAAACCTATTTGGTCACCGTCGATCGCGCAGCCATTATCAACAACGCATTTAAATTTACTTACAGATCTTTCCGATTAATAGAAAATTAAAAATAGCTCGAAAAATATCAAGATAATCTTACACTTCAAATTACTAGCGTAACGATTTCCGAAAATCGAAATGTAAGAATTTGAGTATTTTTTACATCATTTTAAGATCATTCCTATGGCAGCTAAACTTGTTGGGGTGCGACCTTTTCCAGGAGCTATACCAACACGCTGAAGTCCAGAATTATCGTTTTCCAAAACGGTTTCATGATCTCCTTGATTTAAAACTGCCCCCTGTTGGTCATGTGATAGAAAATGAGATTGTTGTTGAACGTTGATGCACTGAGAGCAGTACAAACAAGTGCCCAAACGGCACCAAGCACGTGCTTCTTACGGACGGGCCCATTTTTATTTCAGGCAAATACGGTTCGCGAGGAAAGTACATAAAACAAATAAAGACAGGACAAAACATAGATCAACAAGACTAAAGCAAATGAGTTAAGATTTTAGTTTTTAATACAGGGATAGAAGTTGTGGAACAAATTATATAATATCTTCTCTGATAAGATTATTCATAAAAATAGTACAAAGCATTGTTCTACGATTTATTACACTAGGCAAATTAATCAATAGCAAACTACTCGAGTAAGAAGGCTACCTGACGTTTTGATCCCAGTTCAAACCACGTAAGGCAAAAAGAAGAATTTGTTTCTGAACGGACTCCAAACGGAAGAACTGTATTATCAATTAGGACGGACAAGAAAGGTAAATAATAATTTTGTAGTGTATGTATCATCAAATTCTTTAGAACAACGTTTTATAAACTCAAGAACACTCATAGCTTTATTTGCAGTAGTTTAAGTTTAGGATCTAGGAGAACACCTAAATCGTTTACTGAGTATATTCGGTCCAGGGACATGTTCTGAAGAGAGTAACTCATGAACGTTGGCGTACCCCTATAGAAAGTCATAACGTTGCATTTTAAATAGTTTAAATTCAAAAGGTTGTACTGACCAATTCCTGGAATCTATTAATATCTGACTGCAAGCATAAACCAGACTTAACATTATTATATGATAAGCAAAGCTTAAAATCATCAGTATACATTAGTACATGTTCAGGCCCAATGTCCGGCGAATCTGGACTGGCCCCGCTATCCAGCTGCACCAGCTGCACCGCTCTACCGCTCTCCCGCTCTCTCGCGCTCCCGCTCTCCTGCGCTGTTCCTAGCTCCCTCCATGAAGTCTCCGCTGCGCTTTGGAGCGCAGAGCGGAGCTTAGACTAAGTCAGTTCGATTTCTGGAGTTCATCTGAATAAACCGCGGTCGTACCCCCGCCTACTTTTGTCAAGATAACTTTTGTGCGTGCACTTATTTCCGATTAAAGCCTAGTACTCAGATCGGCTAAGAGTTTCACTAGTCGAAATATCTTATTCTTTGTAGTGTGACCGAAGTTTTCAAAGTTCACCCGCAATGCATGTAGCATGGTCTTACTGTCAAGCAGTTGGGTTTAAAATTGAAATTTAAAAAGGAGTCTGCTGGTACACCTGGCAGTGGCTGGCTAAGACTTCTCCAACTGTTCCTTAGCGGGCGCTCCACTTTCCTCCTCCCTATAGAAGCCAGCGGGTCTTCCAGCTCCGCTTAAGCTGCCAAGTAACTGGTGGTGGTGGTGTACGGAGTACTAATGGAGAGGTCGTCGGAGATCACTTTCTTTGCGAGGAGACGCCCGGCAGGATGTCCATGTAGAGAGCCAAGTCCCACTCGGCATATTCCTTCCCACTGGGATTCTCTAGTGGATCTCCTCCAGCACTTCAACTATTCTGCGGATTTGCCACTGTTGTTTTGCTTCCTGTCGGTTAAATCGCAATAAAGGGCAACAGATTGGATCAGGCGTTCTATTTCACCTGCACTGACCTCCTGCATCCTATTTTGGGGTTTTCCTTTTATTTTTAATATTTAGTTTACACATCGCCTTTGCACGAACACCGCCAAAATTTAAAATTCTTATTCTTTGGGCCGCGGCTAACAGCGTTCATCGAAAATTCACTCGCGAAATCTGGTATTTTATCTGGTATTTCCTTAGCTCATCTGAGTACCGCGCTGAAAAACAGACCCGACGAAAACCTTTAGCAGCCTGTTTGTCTCTCGCTCACTCCTATGGCTAGCTCGCGGTTTTCGTCGATGTGAGTACTAGGGTTAAGGGGCAATACGCGTTCGAGTGGTTTTTCCCCTACAGCTGCCGCAGCACCAGCAGCAAACGCACCAGCAGCAAACGCACCAGCAGCAAGCCACCGAAGCCCAGCGAAGCAGCCCGCCGACGCCGCCAGTTTTCCCGCCGTCGCCTCCCACGCCATTCCACCAGCGCCACCACATAACCCCGCTACCCCCCGGCGTACATTTTGGTCCTTCGAGCCGGATAAGATAAGTAAAGCTTTTCGTCTTATTAATTGCCGGTCTGCAGTCAGCCACTCGAAAATATAATTCGTTTGACTTTCTGTACGATTTGTCCAAAATCCTAGTCCGATTAAATCCGACAATGGCAATTAAAAACAAGGAAGAACGCTATAGTCGAGTACCTCGACTATCAGATACCCGTTACTCAGCTAAATAGAGATATGCAAGTAGCAAAGCGAGATTAAAATGCGCCACCTACCGGCGGTATACAGATTTAAGCGTTATGGGCGTTAGAGTGGGCGTGGCAAATTTTTTTTGGACCAATCGATAGGTATTGACAAGACCAATACATTTCAGTTAAATTTGTTTATCTAGCATGAAAATTGTGGGCGTCACAGGTTTTCGCGGTTTGTGGGCGGTAAAGTGGGCGTGGCAAACTTTTTTTTGGGTCGATAGGTATTGATGAGAACAATACATTTCAGTTAAAATTTTCTATCTAGCATCAAAACTGTATGAGCCACAGTTTTGGGCGGTTTGTGGGCGTTAGAGTGGGCGTGGCACTCTACTGAAACAAACTTGCGCTGCGCAGGAATCTCAGGAATCTGCGTGCCTAATCCCAGTATTGTAACTCTCATAGTTTCCGAGATCTCAGCGTTCATACGGACAGACGGACATGGCTAGATCGACTCGGCTAGTGATCCTGATCAAGAATATATATACTTTATGGGGTCGAAAACGCTTCCTTCTGCCTGTTACATACTTTCCGACGAATCTAGTATACCCTTTTACTCTACGAGTAACGGGTATAATTACTTCGCCATTTTTTCTTCGATTTTCCTTTTGCTACGTGCGGCCATATTGCCAATTTTTTCCGACTCCTTTTTTAATTGCATTTGGCCGCTCATCCAAACTTACATACACATATACAAAATCGAGAAAAAATTCCAAGCTTAGAAAAAATATTGTGCAAATATAAGCCAAGCATACAGTGAGAATTATTAAATTTCTAGTGTTCTGCCAATTCAGGCCCCCAAAACTTTTCAAGATTTTTCTCTCTGTATATCCGCAGCCGTTAAAATACTTGCACATATTTTTTCGTTTTTCCAAATACAACAACACATACCCCGCCTGCAATAATTATTTAATAAATTTAAAACCGGCGAAAATTACATCCATACAAATATCTAAATATACATATACAAATATCGACATACAGTCACTTATAATTTTTAACTCTACCATCCCGTTCCGACTAATTAAAGTTTTCCGTCGGCCATCCGGTAAAAAATAATAAAATACAAAAATTACACCAACCGACGTGAAAATTTTTTGGTCATTGTGTTTTATTTACCATCAAACTTTTTACAATTTTTTTGGTATTTGGTATTTACTCCGTAAAATTTATTTTATTTAAACGGGAAAAATACCAGCACTCCACTGCATGCATAGCATCCTCCGTCCACCAATTTTTTTGGTATATTTTTAGTATTTTTCCCTCGGAATATTAAATCAAATTAAAGAAATACTCC